TTTTTGGTGGAAGTGGTGGTGGAATCTCTTGAGCCTCGGCTTCCACCTCCATGGAATTCAGCTGCAAGGTGATTCATTGTGATTTAGGTTTGAAAAGCAACCCAATGAAAAGTGCAATAGTTAAATATGAACTAAAAAAGTTAATTATAAGTCACAACATTGATTTACGTTCATTCTTAGTGTAAGAGATTAGAAGTAAGTTCTACATTAGAAGTATGAGGAAGTATACATACGTTTTGTCCTTCTTCTTCTTCTTCCAGGCTGTCTTGTGTGCTCTTGCTGCCAGTGTGCACACAATCATGTTTATCTTTAAGCTTTTCCATCAGTTTTTGAGTAAGATTCCTCATTTTGTTTTTCACACCTTTCTTTTGCGTTTTGGTGAGCGAGTTGTCATGTTCCACATTTCCGATGCTCATGCCTGAATGCTCCTGTCCCAAAATCTTAGCAGCTTTGCTGAAGCTTTTGGCTGGCATTGCATTTGCAAAATCTTCATACTTTTCATATTCCCGTAGGTTTGAAATACTTGGAGCTGAGAGGGGTCTCTCTTCCTTAGGCTTGCGGGTTACTGGATCTGAAGCGGACCTTGTTGTCTTGCCTGTAACATTCACAGCTGTTTGATGGGATAGAATCCTGCTCGTATCCATACTGACTGGTTTTGAAGGACCACCACAAGCTTCATCTAGTGGTTCATGCTTCAACCCCACCTGTGCAGAGTCCACTTTATCTGAGGACACAGAGAGGTAAGATGTGTGTGCAGATGTTTCTTGAGATTGATTGTTAGGCAATAATGCAGCTCCAGCCACATGCTCTTCCATCTCTTTGCTCTTTTTGTCCTCCAAAGACTCACTTTCTCTTGGCTGACGACTTAATTTTGCCACCTGGGTTTCTATGGACAAAGAGACAGGGAGTAAACTCTTCCTCTCCCATTTAGGAAACGCATCTGGAAGCTCTTTGACCTCTTCAACAGCTTCATTTCCATCTTCTGTTTCAGAACTCCTAGTTGGTTGCTCCTCATCATCATCAGATCTGACTGTGCTATCTTTCCTGTCGTCTTCATTTTTTATTCCTTCTTCATGTTTTAGAGAATGGTAAAACACACTTTTACAGTTTGTATCTGGGTGTAATTTAACATTGTCTGTTTTGGGATGTTTGTGTTTTAGATTAAGTTTTGCCAGCATAGACTGCAGTCGTGGAATATCATTCCGCAGACCATTCCTCACATCGCTCTGCATGAAAAGAGACATATTATGTTCTTAGAATATTAGTTTATGGCATTATTCACCGTTTTAAGCACTTTCACTGAACAGTTCTTATAAACATACCTTTTTTATTAACATTTTAATAATCTAAGGAAATTTTTTTCACTATAACGAACTTTTTGTGCAACGGAAAGATTCCATGAGTGTTAAAGGTTCCATTGATGCCAAACAAACCTTTATTTTTAAGAGTGTTTTAGTACTAGTAGTACTACTTTGTATTTTGTTTACAATACTTGTGACATCCCATTTACTCTTATATATTATATATCATACAAATCTTATCATATTTGATCTTTTTGTGCTCTTTAAAAACTTACATGCGTTTTTGCAAAGGAATCTTATCTATTATATCTAGCATCTATTTTTCATACCTTTGCTGTTTGTTCCTCCATAGTCTCTCATTTCATTCATCCTTTACAGGTCCTTTACATTCACCCTTCAAGTCATATCCAGCATTGCTTCATCAGTCTGAAGTGTATTAAACCTTATGGTCTCTTTTCTTCAAACCAATCAATAGCACACACAAAGCAGTTTTGCAACCTGTGTGAAGCACCTTGTGCCTTCGTCTCTCAGTCACTGCCTTCTTCCTTTTATAGTGTAGCATTTCTGTACTGCCCAAACCTGTTTTCTAAATTTGATCTCACGTTCCACCTTCTTTCAGCCTATGAAATTAATATAAGTTCTTGAATGTATACTGCAATAAATACTAAATCTACATTAAATAGCTTTGCATTAAATATGCAGCTGATCGTAATACATAGAGGCAGGGAAACTGTCAAATATTAACTCAATAATGCCTGCCCACTGTTTAAACACAATGTGAATGTGTCTTTTTCATAGATTCAAGCATTCAACTCAGTAGATTCCAGTTTTTACTGTAGAGTCTGCATGTTGACAGAAAACCAGGAAACATCTCTTCAAGAAAAAAATCCTAGAGAATTCAAGACAAGAAATGCCAAAGAAACCTTTTGTCATTGCAGGAGGACTGGCCAGCTAGAAGTAAGCGTATTGGTCAGATAAACTTGACAAACAGGAATGTCTGAAGAACTCCTTCTGGGACTTTCCACTTAATCATTGGACTACATTCCTGATCGTAAATTAACACTAATGACCTATGTACTGTATGTGTTCATATACAGTATAAACACCTACAGTCTATGATAAACACATATCTCAGCACGCTTTCACAGATAGATATGTGCTCATATACACATCCACTCCACTGCTTACTGTATACTGTGCTGTAATACTGCAGTGGTTCTCAGCCTTTTTGATTAAAAGGCCCTGTGACTTTCCCAAGTGTTCATGATTTACGGGATGATAATTTTTATTAATATTTTGTACTTTTCTCAACCCCATTAAAATATTTTGGAGTAAAAAAATTTTTTAATGTAATTTGATTTCATTGATTTACATGGCTTGTTGCATATTTTGGCAAATGTGACCCTGGACCACAAAACCAGTCATAAGTAGCACAGGTATATTTGTAGCAATAGCCAAAAATACATTGTATGGGTCAAAATTATTGACTTTTTATATCAAAAATCATTAGGATATTAAGTAAAGCTCACGTTCCATGAAGATATTTTGTAAATTTCCTACCGTAAATATATCAAAAATGTATTATCATTAGTAATATGCATTGCTAAGAACATTGTCCTATCCTAACAAACCATACATCAATGGAAAGCTTATGTATTCAGTTTTTTAAAAATTGACCCTTATGACTGGTTTTGTGGTCCATGGTTACAAATGTTGATTCCAAATGTATATTCCAGTTTCAACCCTGCTCTAACACACATGCCATGTAGTTTTCCAGTAAGCCTGAAAGACTTGATTGTAGTAGGATTTTTTGTAGTTTTACAGTAAGCCTAAAGGATTGGGTGCTTTAGGTGCTTTACAGGAACTGAGTTTTGCAACCCTGGGCTATTCCATATACAGGAAATATGCTCACTGTACACAGATAGCCTTCATACATACCGCATTACACAAAACTAGTATGAGCAGAATGGTTGTACAGAATTCCCAGCTCACTGTCGCAACCAATGAAAGGCTACAGTGGTCGTCACGTGATCTAGAATGCGGAAGCCAACCAGTGTTTTGTACTTTGTTTTGCTACTGTCCTTTTGAACTGGACTGTCTCTTTTTTTATTAGAAAATGGCAATGTCAGCGCTCGTCCACGTTCTCATACCCTTCCTGCTTTGCATTGCGCTTGCAAACACTCACATTTTCGACAACGTTTTGGTGGATGTCACTTATGATCACTATGCGGAAAAGAAAGTCGACAACCTTCCTGCTTTCTTGGCCATGCCGTTTAACTGTCTGATAAACTTGGGATACATATTATTAGGTATCTACTGGATCTTGCAACCGATGTCAGACAATAGAGACACCTGTGCAGCCGTCTACACCAAAGACGTATTTGCGCTAATGGCAGTGGCCTATGGACCGGTGCAGTGGGTCCGTTTGGCCACCTTGCGGCGCGCGCCCTCTGTTTTGGACCAGTGGTTCACTTTACCTATTTTCGCGTGGGTGCTGGTGTGGTATCATGTCGTTGACAAAGGCTGGTCGTCCCGTTACGCCTTGATGGTGGAATCGTGCTCTGTTCTCAGCTATGGACTGGCGCTCTTTCACGACCGAGGGTTTGAAGTAGCCCTGGGTTGTCACATCGCCTTCGCTGTGTTCAAAGGCGTCCGAGCGCAGATGAGCCTCGGAGACACTGCGTCCATGCGCTACCTCTGCTTGGCCCTGCTGTCCTGCGCTGGTTTCGTGGTTCTCAAGCTTCTGGATCATTCTCTTGCAGACTACTGGGTGTTTCAAAATCTTACTGGACATTTCTGGTCCAAAGTTTGCGACATTCTGCAGTTTCATTACAGCTTTTGTTTTCTCACCCGCCTTAGTGAAAATGCACACAAACGCTCTTCATAAATGCGCATACATTTATTCAGCTGAATAATAAGGCAATGGACATAACATGTACGAACCCTAATTTAGTCTTGTCTTCAACAGTAATATTATGTCACTGACATGTACAAATTCTAACGATTAATGTGATCAAAGATTTGTAAAATCAAACTAATTTGATGCTTTTCTTTGTTCAGTTTTGTTCAAAACAGTCAGAAAATTACTTTGTAATTAATTGATTTTTAAGGAAAACTGTCAAATATGTGAAATACTTGGATTTCATCTATTAGATTACAGTATTATCAAATCAATATACTGTGTGTGTGTGTGTGTGTGTGTGTGTGTGTGCTTGTTTATGTGGTTTATGAGGACACATAGGTATGACAGAGGTATTACAACGTGAAGGTGATTTATGAGGACACTTTCGGTGTGCTCATAATTCAAAAGGCTTAAAAATCAGTCAGATTGAGTTTTTTTTTGAAAATCTAAAAATGCACAAAGTTTTCTGTAAAGGGTAGGCCTATGTGTAAGGTTGGTATAGGCCGTTACAGTATAAAAATCATTATGCCTATGAAGAGTCCCCATAAACCATAAAAACCAGTGTGTGTGTGTGTGTGTTTACAAATTCACTTTTTGATGTATTTTAATGTCTGTGTGTGTGTAGTTCATGATGTCATGTCCTAAGCTTCATTCTCAGGTTTGTCAATTTGAAGATGAATACAAAATGAATGTAAATGCACAATATAATTATAGACAGCCTGGCATATATGCCTTAACTTGACGCATTAAAACAAAACTTTGAGCAAAACATCTTTAGAATTTTTTATTTGCTGCATGTCTGCCTTTACTGAAATCTCAGCACACATCTAGCCATGAGACAGAGTGTCATTTCTTCTTATTAAAATCATGATGAGATGCATTTTCAAAATGTGTTGCACAGGGAAAAAAAATCGTATTGCTTGTAAATCTTCATATTTCAAGCCTCGTAATGCCGGTCAGAACTGGATCGGGAAAAGCTGATCTCCTTTTGTTCCAGAACAGTATGAGTACTGCTTTTCGGAAGTCTTTATTTGTGCAGTAGATAAAGGGGTTTAAACCACAGTCCAGATACGCCATTACTGATGACAGTGATCGCAGCCATTCAGGGGATGGGGACAAATCAAGCCTTCCAAGGAGAACCAACTAACAAAACAAGAATAAACAGAATTGTTAACATGGAAAAACACATTCAAATCAAGCCTTTGACTCCTAAAAAATGAACAAAACAGAAAATGATTCCACACTAACAAATTTTTCTCACCTCAGATGCAGTAAATGGAGCATAGCAGATCAGATACAAGATCACCAGCAGTGGCGTGATAGAGGACAGGTCACCCTGGCTAGATAAAATGTGGACATTTAAACTATTACAGAAAAATGGAGAAATTTAGCATTACCGGTATATCACCTGCTCACCAATGGATCCTCTGCAGTGAATGGGTGCCGTCAGAATGAGAGGCCAAACAGATGATAAAAACATCACAATAATTCACAATAATCCACACAACTCCAGTCCATCATTTAATGCCTTGTGGAGCAAAAAGCTTCATGTTTGTTTAGATTATTGTGACGTTTTTGTCAGCTGTTTGGACTCTCATTCTGACGGCACCCATTCACTGCAGAGGACCCATTGGTGAGCAAGTGATAAATTTATCCATATTTTAATGATGAAACAAATTCTTGAATGGACCGAGGTTGAGTACATTTTTTAGCAAATTTTCTTTTTTGAATGAACTATTCCTTTAAAAATCGATATATACATTTTTCAGAATTCTGTGTTCACTACTTCCAACTCTACAAACCTGGAACTGTCTTTCCCATAGCCAGCACAAGTCAGGATGGAGCAGAAGAGTATGAGGAGAAATGGGATGAAGATGGAGATGGAGAAGGCACAGAGGATGTAAACCAGCATGTCAGAGTAACTGCTTTCCCAGAAAACTGCACACAGCATTTCTGCTGGATCATACCTGAAAATGGCATGCAGAGTATAGTGAGAAGTCATGTTGATGCCTAAATTTTGAGCATTTCTAAGCATCTTCACTCACTTTATCCAGTCATAGACTACTGGTACTGCTCCAAATATAGCTCCAGTGCACCATGATGCTACACATGCCACCGCCATGAGAACAGACAGCTTTTTGCCTTTGGAAGGAATTCCCATATATCTCTGAACACAGAGAATTGCTGAGGACAAAGAAGAAAAGAATGGTATTATTGTGATATAACTCTTTTTTTATAGATACATTCTTAAGGCACAAATGAGGAGTTTCATTCTCAGAATAACTTTTTCTAATTCACCTTAATACATATACCGGTATATACATATATATATATATATATATATTTACTTTATTCAGCAAGGCACATTCAATTGATCAAAAGTGACAGTAAAGATAAAGACATTTATAATGTTACAAAAGATTTTGATTTCAAATAAAAGATGTTCTTTTGAACTTTCTAAAAAATATATTTAAAAACATATTTGAAACTCAAGTTCAAAGACTTACTTTAATCATATTAAGAATTTAACCCTTTTTTACATAACCAAATAATAAGAAACAATATTAAATATTGTATTACTTCTAATAATGAAACTAGTAAACAATCTCAAGCAAAGAAAAGATTGGTATTATTGTGACATACCTTTTCTATTGATAGCTGTTTTTGATCATTTATTGATTATTTTTAAGGCACAAATGAGAAGTTAATTTTCAGTTTTTAGAATAACTTTTCTAAATCATCCTAATTTAAAAAAAAAAAAAAAAAAAATCAAGCAAAGAAAAGATTGGTATTATTGTGACATACCTTTTCTATTGATAGCTGTTTTTGATCATTTATTGATTATTTTTAAGGCACAAATGAGAAGTTAATTTTCAGTTTTTAGAATAACTTTTCTTTAAAAAAAAATTTAAAAAAAAAAAAAAAAAAAAATCTTTGAAACTAAAGTTTAAAGACTTTCTTAAATAATATTAAGAATTTTTAAATAACCAAATAATAATAAAACCTTTTTTTTTAAATGTTATATTTACTAGTAATTAAATATAAGCTGAGAACAACGCAGAAAAAAATGGTATTATTTGGACAAAACTTTTTTGTAGATTGTAGAACATTGAAACTCAAATTTAAAGACTTGTTTAATCATATGAAGAATATTAACTAAAAAAAAAACTATTTTAAACCATAACATTTTATAACTAATTATAACATTGCTTTTAAGAAATATTAAAACGTCAAATTGTCTGCATTTCTGAACATTGCTCTTTCAATAAATATTCAAATGGAAGCTACGACAGAGTACATGATTCTTCTTCTTTCCTCGCAGAGTCCAATGCACCCTCCTGCAACCATTCAGGTGTACAATAGGGTGTTTATTTATTGTTCTTTATTGCTAATTACAATGAAAGCAGTATTAGAGATATCCCACAGAGGTCAATTGTTCCTTGTCATAGCCATACCTATGCTTCCAATGGAAGAGGTGATGAAGGTGAACTTTAGCAGGCTCACCACCTCACACCACGGTGAAATCTGCCCTTCACTCAGCACGGCTAAGAGGGAGCCACAGATCATGAGGATGGAGCAGAGGAAATCTGAGAGCGTGAGACTGAAAAGTGGCAGCCAGTAAAGGCACTGAAAATGGTCTTTACACTGTGGGAGAGCAAAAAAAACAAAGGCATGAGGCATTATATTTTAAAACTGATTGCATCCCTAAAAAAATCTTTTTTCATTTGTTTTCTTTTTTAAATAAAATTATATATTATTTTATAAAATTATATATCATTCTTACCACAACTTTGACTATCAAAACCAATCCATTTCCCAAAACACCCAGTACCATCTCAGTGGTGAGAATGGGAATGAGCACAGACTTCTCAGTTCTGGACCAAAAATTCTCCTCTGATTCTGTTATATTATCTGAAGTGTTCACTGAAATGAATCAGAATATTATTCCAATGAATTAATTCTCAAATTTCATAGCTTCTAGAAATCAGGAATCAATTTAGCATTGAAATTCAAAAAAGTATCCATCAACCTTCACTCTGTGACTCGAGCAGGTCAGTCTATGAAACAGCACTTCGACAGCACAGATTTATCTTCATTACAGAGAATTTTGTGTAAAGGTGATCGACTTACTTTGTCACTGAAGCAGAGACCTACAGATAATCCCAACAATTAGAAAAAAGAAAGCTTCACACTCGGTTGTTTTGTGGATATGTGATACAGAGAGCACTGAACACAGTGATTACGTGGAGACATACGTCACAGCTTTCTGTAATTAAACTGGTCCTGCTTCATTAAGCTTTAACCATCAAACACTTATTCAGCTTTCTTCACAGTGACAGGACAGCACCAATGGCTTCGTAGCATATTAGTATAAGAAAAAGAATCCCTCTGAAATGTCATTTTAGCAATTTAAACAGCTGCATATCTTATTTTATCAACTCATATCTCACTCAAGTCCGAAACTATTTTCAAAACTATGGCATGTCAGAAGGTTAGAAAATTATTACTTTGATCAAGTAAATACACAGTGTTTATTGAGCTTTATCCAGCTGTTAAACAACTGTTAAACCTACAGTGTTTAACAATTGTGAAAATTATAGGCTATTAGAAACAAAATAAAACTTATGTTTAAGTAAGGGATCTTTTGAGAATAAAATCAATAAAATGGTACATCATTCATTGTAAGCCTTTGGTCTTTTTATTTATTTATTTATTTAATAACAATGTTTGGTGAATTATAATTGGGAACGTACCTACCTCCACTACTCTCTCTCTCTCTCGGCTAATTTAATAATTTCTTTTTCTTTCTTTGTAAATTGCTCTTACGTTAAGCCAAAGTTAAAGCCAAATCTCTATGGAATTTTGCATTGATTATTATTATTATTATTGCAATTATTTTATATTCTGAACCACAGTGTTCACTATTTTATATCATAAAGAAACACGCGTTTATAATAAAGGTGGTTTTATTAACTGTTTAATTTTTGTATGTTTATTTTATTTATGTATTTTATATTTATTTATTTATTTATTTTTTTCAATCTTTTTGCGGATGTGTTCTGTCTTATATTTTGTAAAAAAACAACAACAACAAAAAACACTCACTTCCGGCGTTCTGCATGTGCATTTCCTCAATCGTCCGCTGTTCTGGTTGAGAAGGCCAAATAGCGAGTGTCCGGTGAGTGCGAACAAGTTTTAAACTCTCTGCATTCGCTATCTATCTTTTGAGTGAACATGCACCGCATTTTGTGGAACCGATATAATTAATACAATATTAGAAACGCAAATATTGGTATAAAGGATATACGAATAATAGCAGTATAGTCATTGAAAGTCCTTGAGAAAATCAGCCTGTGGCTAAGCTAACGTTACTTCAAACACCTCACGGACAGCATTTAACTTTGAATAAAAACACAAAGTTATAGATATTTAGGCAAAGATTAAATATGTAAATGCACATTGGAGAAAGTGAGTAGTAAATATGTGGAAAGCTAAGTAGTCGGCTAAAACGGACATGCTTGATCTCCTGTCCTAAGCCACTTGCTGCAGTCCTACAGTATCTGGGTTGCCCAGTCAAACAGTTGCTTTATTATTTTGGACGTGTTACATGTTGTCTATAGATTAAATGGCGATAATTTATATGTGGCGCTTAAATTAACGACATTTATGTGTCTGCTGTCTCGCGATGTCAGCTGAACCAATATTTGGGGTTTTGTTTATGTTCTGTAAGGGGAAGTTACAATCGTGGCACACTGTTTTGTGTAACTGCCAATGTTTCGCCCAATTAAAGTGCAATACAATATTGAATGTCTTGAATGAGCCTGTTTTAGATGTTTAAGTTGTTAGTATATGTCCACAAGTATGTTTAGTGTTGTAATCTGAGAAAATAAATATAACAAACCCTAGTTTCCATCCCTTATCTTTGTCCCTTTCACTCACAGTGCACTTCACTGAGATGTCTGCGGCGTTACGTGTGGTCTACACCGTATCCAGGCCAGGTGAGTCTAAGAATGATTAGAACAGAAGCAATATATGAGTTTAAAAAAGCAACAAATACAGTGAGATTTATGTATGTCTCTATATGAAATCAAAATAAAGTCTTGTTTCTCAGATGAGTGATTATATCATGTGCTTACTTCTTAGGGTCATTTCTGGCCAGTCAAAATCTTGCACGTCCTCTCAGCCTATCTGCACACAGAGCAGGGATTAGTAAGTATCGCTTGGTACAAAATATGGTCTTGGTATTAAACCTTTTCCTATATCATCACTTTTTTTTCTATATGCAGAGTATGTCAATAATCAGGAGGAAGCCACAGATATGAAGTCCATCACGGACCGTGCGGCTCAGACACTTCTGTGGACAGAGCTGTTCAGAGGTCAGTAACAACATGAGACTTCTAAAGCACTTCCTTAAAGCCATCACACAAATAACTCTAAAAGTAGGTACCAGCTGATGTTTGTCTTGATGCAGGTTTGGGAATGACCATGAGCTACCTTTTCCGTGAACCTGCCACAATCAACTACCCCTTTGAGAAGGGCCCTCTGTCGCCCCGTTTCCGTGGGGAGCATGCGCTACGCAGGTACCCCTCTGGAGAGGAGCGGTGCATTGCATGTAAACTTTGTGAAGCCATTTGTCCAGCCCAGGTATACTCTCTTTCTGATTGGCCTTGTTCATTCTAATATAACTTGACAGTGTAAAGACCCGTTCACACCAAGGACGATAACAATAAAGATAATGATAAAGATATAGTTCTAAAAATCATTCTCAATATTAAAGAATAGCCCACACCACAGTTATAACAATAAAGGCACAGAGAAACGATATCGTTGGAATCACTTTCAGAACGATTTTTTTTTTCTAGCTGATGAACAATACAAACATTGACACCCAATCAGAATCAATCTTGCTATAACGAGCTCGAGAATTTAAAGCGGCAGACGAGCGTGCGCTTATAATAAACAGACAATATCGAAAATATCGTCCGCTGGTGTGGATGCTAATATCTTTATCTTTAAAGTAGTTTATATAGTTATCATTCTTGGTGTGAACGGGGCTTAATGACAAGCAGTAATTGCATGCAGGTTTAATTATTTGCACATGTGAATTAGAAGAGTAATAGTAAAATTTAAATGTGCAAAGTGACCCCCATATTTTTCTCTGTCTCAGGCGATCACAATTGAGGCAGAACCTCGTGCCGACGGCAGCAGGAGAACAACGCGTTATGACATAGACATGACCAAATGCATCTATTGTGGCTTTTGCCAGGAGGCCTGCCCTGTGGATGCAATTGTAGAGGTGAGCATCTCGCAGCACACGTTTCAACTACTCATCATGTCTTTTAACAGGTTGTTTAATGCGTTCATACTGGCTTCTAGTGGAACTGTGGAAATTTTGAGGAAAAAGCTAATACAGCACAGTACAATATAAAGAATATAGTGAGAGAAAACAAATACAATATACACTACAATGTGGGGTCAGTAAGATTTTTTAAATGTTTTTGAAAGAAGTTTTTTATGTTCGCCAAGGCTGCATTTATTTGATCGAAATTCAATATAACAGTAATTTTGTGAAATATTATCACAATTAAAAAAATAACCGTTTTATATTTTAAAATATAATGTGAATTTTTTGCAGTCATTACAGAAATCATTCTAATATACTGATTTGGTGATTTTGATGGTTATTATTATCAACTTTATTATTTATAAAAAAATTGTTGCATAATGCTGTTTAATTGTGAAAAAAGTAGCACTTTTTTTCGAGATTCATTGATGAACAGAAAGTTTAAAAGAACAGCATTTTTGAAATGGAAATCTTTTGTAACATTATAAATGTCTTTACTGTCATTTTTTATTAAATCTATGCTTCATTGCTGAATAATAGCATTCATTTCTTTAATGAAATCTTGCTGACCCCTAATTTTTAAATGCTAATGTATATATATGAATTTTGACCCATGCAATGTATTGTTGGCTATTGCTACAAATATTACCCCAGTGACTTAAGACTGGTTTTGTGGTCCAGGGTCACATATTATATAATGTGCATTAAATTGTTTGGAGAATAATTGCGATATTGCGCAGCATGAGAAGTCAAATGTACAAAATAAGCAGGTGTTTAAAAGGGTCGAATTAAAATCTCCATAAGGATGAATACATTCTATATGACCAGATTTACTGGAGTTAATGTCCACCTTTTCCTGTCTGTCTTTTTCTTAGGGTCCCAACTTTGAGTTCTCCACAGAGACTCATGAGGAACTGCTTTATAACAAGGAGAAACTCCTCAACAATGGAGACAAGTGGGAGGCTGAGATCGCTGCCAACATCCAAGCTGACTATCTCTACAGATAAATAAATGTCATGGACTGTCTCATTTCAACACAGTGACTATATACTCTTCACCATGCTTTTTTTTTTTGCTTTTAGACAGTTACTGTTGTGCTGAGTACACATTTTCAAAGCCCAGGGACTGACTTTTTTGTGAAGATGCACATCATTTTTGATTTATTTCTGTGGGAGCATAATATAGATGCTCAGGTCTAAAATTAACTCTTACCAGTAATCACAGTTTCAATTGCACATGGAAGATTTGCTTTTAGACAGTTACTGTTGTGCTGAGTACACATTTTCAAAGCCCAGGGACTGACTTTTTTGTGAAGATGCACATCATTTTTGATTTATTTCTGTGGGAGCATAATATAGATGCTCAGGTCTAAAATTAAGTTCACACATTCATGTCCGTAAACTACAGCAGCCTTAAAGTGGTGCCTCAGATTGAAACATTTCTGTGTACATCTAAAGCTGTCGTTTTGACTTTTCATTCAACACAGCATGAGCATCACACAGTAAATGTTGAGGTATGTTGTGTAATAAACAGTGTCTAATGGCAGTATAACCACCATAAGGATGACGCACTACTTTGTGGCTAATGTTACATTGTCATTTTGAGGCAGTCGATCCATCCTTCCCATTTTTCTTCCTTTCATATTTTGACCATCCGTTGGATTTAAATGAAGAGTTGTAAGAAACAAAAGCACTTCGACAGTTGTGTTGAATATACAGTGGGTACGGAAAGTATTCAGACCCCCTTAAATTTTTCACTCTTTGTTATATTGCAGCCATTTGCTAAAATCATTTAAGTTAATTTTTTTTCCTCATTAATGTATGCGAGAACTGTACAAAGACTAAATACTTGTGGACCGTATATAATAAATTAATGCTCTGTCCAAATCTTTCACAATCTCTGGCCTTTACTTATATTGCAACTCAGTTTGTATTTTGAATCGTTTCTTCATAAGAGCAATGCATGTTTTAGATGAAGATTTTCTTTCTCAAGTTTTCGTATATTTTTTTGTTTCTTTAAATATCTTTTTAATGGAATGGGAATATTAGTTATTTTTGTCTCATATAAGCTGTGTCAGACTGACTTTAAGTCAATGTGCTGATTTGTGAAACAATGCTTGATGTTTTGACTTCTTTTTGAATTGTTTTTGCTGGCAGAAAAATATGCAAACTAACTGCTCAATTCTTGTCCACATAACAATATGAATTACTCGCGGTCTTGATTGTGATAGTGTTTCAGTTACTGCTTTAAAAAAAGCAAATAGATTTTAATAATTTTAAGTACTTCAAAAGTCCCTCAACTCGTCCCAACCAGTCTTGACTTTTTTTGTTTTGTGTTGGATGGCAGAAATTAAATATTTTTAAGCATAACTTATTTTTTGATAATAAATTTTTTTATTATTTAACTACATTTTAGTTTTAAGTAGTTTTAAATATGTCTTAATTTGTTCATTTAAAAATAGATTTATTTCCATTTTTATGTAAAGCATTCATTCATTTTATTATATTTAAGTCTCAGTCCTAGTCCCATCGTTTGGGGTAGTCCCATGTGTGTTAGTGGAGAAAAAGGAGCACCTTGGTAGAGGAAGATTAGCTACCCAGCACACAACTGTTGCTCTAATCCGCTCTGAGAGGATAGGTTTAAGACAACTACAAGACAAGAGCGACACTGCCATATTGTTTGTTTGTTTTTTCCCCATAATAAAGCCACTATTTTTTATTTTTGAGAGTGTCTAAAGTAAGAATCCTGAGGAACTTGGTGCATTCATACTGTAATTAACATGTTTTCTAGCTAACATTATCCAGACTGAAAACGACGTCGCTGCTGTTTATCTTCTACATTGACCACTACAGCAATTTGAAATCTTAAATCTCATATCACATTGAACTGAAGATGAAGGACCGACTGGAACAACTAAAAGCGGTAAGAGATTTTCCCCCCTCGTGTTCTTATGTTAAAATCTTATGATTTTATTATTACACACACGGTGGGTTGAGGACTGATTTGCTGCTGTTTGACCTTTAAGTTAACTTACCTGGGAGGTCCTGAGCTCAATATTGACTAACTGAGGTAATTTTATTCAGTTATTGTCGATTACGGGTAGGTTATCTATCTGTAAATGTTAGCAATAGGTCATCATTATCCGGAGATTACACTCATGATTATACAACAAATAGGTTAAAGGAGTAAACCGTATCTGAACTGCCATTAGGCACGTAGAAACGCGTGATGCGAGACGCGCGCATCCATAGCAACTGTGTCCTCCTGCCCTGTCATGAGGCCAATTCTGTGTATTTTAAAATATAATTCTGTGCATTAAATATAAAAGTGTTACATTTCTGTAAGGTTTAATTTCTTTTGAAATAGTGAAGATAAGCTGCAATAGATTCTATCTTTAACTTGCTGACAAAAACAAGTACAGGTTGCTGAAAAAAAATCTTAACCAGTTTAATGTAGTTTGCTGGGCTTGGTCGGTCTCTCAACCTGGTCAAGCTGGTCTGTTGGCTGGTCAGTCTTGGAGACCAGCTGGTCGTTGAGTTAAACACCAGTTTCACCAGTCTGGAAGACCAGCTTAAACCAGCTAAAAAGCTTGTTTTAAGGCAGAGAAAACACTATTTCTGCCAAGTTATTAAACTTTCTGCTGTTTGTTTATGTCAAAACAGAAGTCGGATCAAACTCCTGATGATGTGGAAATTCCAGTGGAAAATAAAGAATTTATGGATGAGTTCTTCGCTCAGGTATATGTGAATCAGCTACACTGTATTCAAATGAATATGCAAATTAGAATGTCACACACTCTTAAAAATAAAGGCTCCATAAGGGGGTTTTAACAGCGGTGCCAACGTTTTAAAAGTCGAAAGAACTCTTTTCCAATAAAAATAACCTTTAGTGCAATGGAAAGTTTCCATGGATATTAAAGATTATTTATAGAACCAGCAATGCCAATAAAGAACCTTGATTTTTAAGAGTGCAGTTAAATGGACATTTTTTCTGTATGTGTTGTACAGATTGAAGAAATCCGCACCAGTATAGACAAGATTGATGAAAATGTAGGCGAGATAAAGCGACTGTATTCTGTCATCCTCTCTGCGCCTACATCAGACCAGAGTTAGTCTAATCACATTTTACCTTCATTTTATAAATTATTTATCATTTTTCTCTATTGCTTCCCTACCCCATTCATGCTTTAAATATCTCTCATCTAATTTCTCAACCAGAAACACAGGATGAATTGGAAGCAGTTACCAATGAGATAAAGAAACTGGCCAACAATGCTCGCAACAAACTCAAAAGTCAGCTTTATTTTCTTCTTTTGTTTGTTGATAAAAATAAATAATTTTTCTCCAGTGATAATTGGACAATATGCTACATCACTATTATCTCAAATTCTGAGTTGAATTATTTGGTCAACCTTGAAAACAGGCATTGAGCAGAGTTTGGCAGCTAACTCTGAAGAGAGGGTTTCAGCAGATATCCGGATAAAGAAATCTCAGGTAACCACTAGCCCTTCGAATAAACCACAGGGATTTCCACAAGTAGTATGTTTTTAATCATACAGTGTTTATCTCCTTTGTTTAGCATGCCATTCTTGCTAAGAGATTTGTAGAAGTGATGACCAAATACAATGAAGCCCAAATGGAGTTTAGAGAGAAGAGCAAAGGGCGCATCCAAAGACAGCTGGAGATCAGTGAGTGACAAACGCATACACAGACCTTCTTTAGGGTTGGATTAAAAAGAAAGTCAGTGATCACAATGTTATAGGCTATACATGTGTAAGGCCATTGTTGAATCCTGCCTTACAGCTGGCAAAGCCACAACTGATGAAGAGCTGGAGGAAATGCTGGATGGAGGAAACGCTGCAGTATTCACAGCAGGAGTGGGTACTATTCTATAACTTCTATGTGTGATGTTTTGTTGTAAGAATATAACTTGTCTGTAATTTGTATGGGGTGTAAGATATTTTACTTAGACTGCTGTTCATTAGTTTGGAGTCAGTAAGATTTTTTTGAAAGAAATATACAGGTGCATCTCAAAAAATTAGAATATCGTGAAAAAAGTTCCTTTTTTTGTAACATATTTCAAAAAGTGAAACTTTCAAATATTCTAGATTCATTACATGTAAAGTAAAACATTTCCAAAGTTTTTTTGTTTTCATTTTGTTGATTAGAGCTTACAGCTCATGAAAGAATATTATAATATTTCCTATAAGATCAATCAAAAAAGGATTTGCAAAACAGAAACGTTCAAGTTTTTTATAGTATGTTCATTTATGCACTCAATACTTGGTCAGGGCTCCTTTAGCACAAATTCCAGCATCAGTGAGGTGTGGCATGGAAGCGATCAGCCTGTGGCACGGCTGAGGCACTACTGAAGCACAGGTTTCTTTAAAGGGGTCATATGATGCTGCTAAAAGAACATTATTTTGTGTATTTGGTGTAATGAAATGTGTTTATGCGGTTTAAAGTAAAAAAAGCACATTATTTTCCACATACTGTACATTATTGTTTCTCCTCTATGCCCCGCCTTTTTGAAACGCGTCAATTTTTACAAAGCTCATCGGTCTGAAAAAGCGAGGTGTGCTCTGATTGGCCAGATATCCAGTGCGTTGTGATTGGCCGAATACCGCAAGCGTGAGACGGAAATGTTACGCCCCTCACCATACTGTTGATGCCGTGTCCGGCCGGAGCGACGAGACATAAACATTAAAACCCATTACAAACGAGGCATTTGTTGCATCCAATGGGGACATAATTACTGATTATAATGACTTATACTGTTGTTTTACGCGTTGCATTGCATTGCGCCACGTAAACATAAAACCCTGTCTGCATTTGTGATCAGAGAAATGACAAACAACAAGTGCTAACGTTAATCCACACTGCCCAAAACTCGCGTTTGAATCATCAGTGGCAAATGATAAAAGAAAACGTACTTACATGAGTCAGAACTGCCGGCATTTTAGTCTAACGTAACTCTCCCAGGATCAGTAAACAGTCCTCCATAAAATGTGCCGGCAATCCACAGCACTAAGTTGAAGTATTCCCTCAGCGACCAGCACAGATCAGATCTAGGCATAACGAAGCGGATATCGTCCTCTTTTGGAAGACCAAACAAAGTAGCTTCGCTTTCACAACGAAATAATCATCAAAATTAAAACAAAAAAACGTTGGAAATGTTTTACTTTACATGTAATGAATCTAGAATATATGAAAGTTTCACTTTTTGAAATAAGTTACAAAAAAAAGGAACTTTTTCACGATATTCTAATTTTTTGAGATGCACCTGTATACTTTTATTCAAGGACACATTAAAAAAATAAAAAGTGACAGTAACATTGTTAAAATTAAATTATATTTATAATAATCACTTATTTTTGGATTTTCTA